AGGACGACTGATCCGTGTAAAGGAAAGAATGAATGGGCCATGTATCGTGAGATTTTGAGTGACAACCTCCTTCCATCAGCAAGGGCATTGAAGATGAAACGTGGCTGGGTCTTTCAGCATGACAATGATCCCAAACACACCGCCCGGGCAACGAAGGAGTGGTTTCGTAAGAAGCATTTCAAGGTCCTGGAGTGGCCTAGCCAGTCTCCAGATCTCAACCCCATAGAAAATCTTTGGAGGGAGTTGAAAGTCTGTGTTGCCCAGCGACAGCCCCAAAACATCACTGCTCTAGAGGAGATCTGCATGGAGGAATGGGCCAAAATACCAGCAACAGTGTGTGAAAACCTTGTGAAGACTTACAGAAAACGTTTGACCTCTGTCATTGCCAACAAAGGGTATATAACAAAGTATTGAGATGAACTTTTGTTATTGACCAAATACTTATTTTCCACCATAATTTGCAAATAAATTCTTTAAAAATCAGCCAATGTGATTTTCTGGATTTTTTTTTTCTCATTTTGTCTCTCATAGTTGAGGTATACCTAGGATGGAAATTACAGGCCTCTCATCTTTTTAAGTGGGAGAACTTGCACAATTGGTGGCTGACTAAATACTTTTTTGCCCCACTGTATATGATTCTGTTTTCTTCAAGTTTATATCTTCCTGGTCGAATGCACTTATTGTAAGTCGCTTTTGAGAAAAGGGTCAGCTAAATGCAATGTAATGTAATGTAATATCATATAAAAGTGTGTGTCTGCTTTTGGCAGAATATTGTTATGTTGTCCAAAAGAGCAACATAATGTTCTCAATATTTTTGATTGACTTTGTTATTTGCACCGCTAGCTTTTTAAGCCCCGAAAATTTGAATATTTTATTTCAGATCCAAGCGATAGTATAGGTCTCTCCAACATGATATATTCACATGCCATTCTGGCACACAGGGGCTTGAATCACCCCCCCTACCTGGCTGCACAGATGCTGGCCCAGGCCGGGCCTCCCGGAGGCACTCTGGTAGATGACTGGCTGTTTGGAGCTGAGCACTGCATATCCCTCAGAGGAATACTCTTCATAGCGGGCGTTGATGACCAGCCGACACACTTTCACCAGGCCGTCCCTGTCATCCTCGTGGAAGTAGGCGGAGCCGTTCTCATAGCTGAGGGACACATTGAATTAGTACACAAGCAGAAATTAACAGAGGAAGTTTTTGATCAAGTTTGCTAGAAACATAAATGAACATTTGAAGAGTTTGCATTTTTTGTGTTGATAACCGTGATGTCAGTGAGATATGGTTAGGTCCAAGCTTTTGGATATTAGTCTTAACAACTTAACCTTTCTCCACCTCATTAACTACAGGTTATGATCTTCTTTTTAAAATATAATATCATTCGTTATCTTGTTGGTATCGGCCATGTGTGTGTGAGGACTTTATAGAGCGGTGCAGTGATAATATAATGGATTTTGGAATATTGAAGAAAATAAAATCTTTGGTTAAAAAGTTTATGATACTCACACGTTTGTTGTTATTAACACCACTTTAGGATTTTGAAACATAAATTCATCACCAGAGGTTAAGCGCTAATGTTAAATTCAAAAGAAAGTACATCACACATTTCACAACTTCACGTCACCACCGCTAAGCTAAAGGCGGCTAATGTTTGGTGTGAGAACTTTTAGTAGTCTCATTTGGACACAATTTTTACGAGATATGGAACCTTCATTCATTCACCAGTGGGATAGTGATTGTATGCTGCAAAACAAAACACAAACAGCTTGTGTTAACCAAAGATCTGATTTTAGGCTTCTAACCAAAGACACGTTCACAAATCGTTGTCATTGAGAGAAGGGAACGGGAAGTGGTAAAATGCTAACTAATTTCTGGGTTTTAGGATTCATTGCTCACCAATCTACAATGGCTGTGATAGAAACACACTGTGCTGCTGCTTTTTTTACTTTGTAATAATCAACACAACCCGAACAAAACGTAAGTGTGTTTTCCATCCACAGCAGGCGTACCTGAAGAGTCTGCAGAGCCACAGCGTGGTGTCGGACAGGATGCGGATGGTCAGCTTCCTCAGTCTCTCTCTGTCCAGCACAGAGATGTAGGCGGACAGGCTGTGACCCAGCAGGGCCATGTGACCCTGCTCCCCAACATTCTGCATCCTGCTGGAGACATCGCAGAGCGGCGTTATGACCCCATACTGACAGCTGTCTAATCC